AAAAATCTGTCTTCTTGGCCGGGCACGGTGGCTCAAGCCTGTAATCCCAGCACTTTGGGAGGCCGAGGCAGGTGGATCACGAGGTCAAGAGATCGAGACCATCCTGGTCAACATGGTGAAACCCCGTCTCTACTAAAAATACAAAAACATTAGCTGGGCATGGTGGTGCGTGCCTGTAATCCCAGCTACTGAGGAGGCTGAGGCAGGAGAATTGCCTGAACCCAGGAGGCGGAGGTTGCGGTGAGCTGAGATCGCGCCATTGCACTCCAGCCTGGGTAACATGAGTGAAACTCCGTCTCTAAAAAAAAACTGCCTCTACCTTGACCTGTCTTCTTTAGATGCTTTGAACCATCAGCTACACTCCCCCACTTCTTGTCTTATCGTTAATATGTACTAGCTTCCTATCAGCATCTGATTTCTTAGTCTTGTCCCTCTGCTCTATAAGTCCTGTCATTAAATACTTCGATATCCACTTGGCAATTTGATTCCACACCTTACCCAGTATTTCTCAAGGCATTATTAACCTACAACAGAATCATCTCAGATGCTTCTTAAAATGCAGATTCTTGGGTACCATTCATAACTCTGAGTCAGACTATCTGGAGGCAAGGCCCAAGAATCAAATAAAAAGACTAAGACTGTCAGACTGGTCATCAAAACAAAATTTAGCTATATCCTGCTTACAAGAGACACCCCATAAATAAAAGGACATAGGAAGTATGAAAGTTGAAATACGTAAATAAGATAAACCACACAAACACTAACTAAAAATAAATTGGTTTTAACTATTTTAATATCAGACAAGATAGTCTTCAAGGCACAATGTATTAACAAACATAGGGAGGGACATATTAAAATAAAATGTTATATCCTTCAGGAAGTTCAAACAATCTTAAATTAGTATTCATCTCGTAATACAATCTCAAAGTATATAAATGAAAAATTGACAGAATTAAAAGAAGAAATAGACAAATTCACTCTTACAGCTAGAGATTATAATACTTATTCCTTAGCAATCGATGAAAAAACAAAAACAGGCAAAAAACCCCCCACCCGATAGAGAAAAATTTTAAAAATGATTAACACATAGTTAGAACACTGTACCCAACAATTACACAATACACATTGTTTTCAAGTGCATAGGAAATTTTTATCAAAATTGACCATAAAACTGGGCATGGAGCAAATCTCAACAAATTTCAAAGGAAGAAATCACACAGCATATGTTCTCTAAGCATAATGAAAGGTAATGAAATCAATCATTAAAAGACAATAGACATTGTCAAATGTTTGCAAATTAAGAAGCATATTCTAAACAACCCATGAATCAAAAAGAAATCGAAATGGAAATTAGACAATAGTTTGAACTGAATAATAATGAACAAAATTTTAGAAATGCAGTTAATGCTATGCTTAGAAATTTTAGAGGCTTAGAGCTCTAAAAGGAAGTCTGAAAAAAAATTAAGCAATTACTCATTTCAACAAGTTAGAAAAAAGACAGTAAATTAAACCCAAAGACAGTATGGTCATAAAGATAAGAGCAGAAACTAACAAAGCACAAAAGAAACATACAATAGAGAAAATCAACAAGGGAGAAACTGGTCTTCCATAGACCTCTGGTAAGACTGATCAAGAAAATAAGAGAAAGTGCACAAATTATCCTACCAGAAATGAAAAAGGAAATATTGTTCAATGATCTTATGGAAAAACAGTAAGAATACAGAAAAAAAATTTTAGTGTCAATTTATATGAAACGAACAAATTATTTCAAAAATATAAACTACCAAAATTGACACAAAAAAGAATAGTTATTTTATTATTTTATTTAATGTTACTTAAAAACTTCCCACGAAGAAAAACTTAGGTCCAGATGGTTTCACCTGTGAATTCTTTCAAATATCTAAGAAAAAAATAATACCAACCTTAAACAAAATCTTCCAGAGAACAGATACAGGGATTAATACTTCCCAATTTATTTTATGAGGCTAGCATAAGCACGACAGAAAACCCACAAGGAGATTACAAGAAAATAAAATGATAGGTCATTTTTTCCTATGAATTTACACGCAAATGTCTGAGAAAAATATTAGCAAACTAAATCTAGTGATATATGAAAAGAGCAGCACAACAAGACCAAGTTAGTTATTACAGGATTGCAAGGTTGGTTTAACATCGAAAAAATTAATCAACATAATTTACCACAGTAACAGAGTAAGTCAGGAAAATCATGATTATCATGAAAAGACAACTGATAAAATTCAATACCCATTCATGAAACAAACTCTCATTGTAATAGGAATAGAAGGACATTTCTTTAATCTAATCAAATATGCCTATTAAAAAAATCCTCCAGCGAGCCAGGCTCAGTGGCTCACACCTGTAATGCCAGCATTTTGGGAGGCTGAGGTGGGCAGATCACCTGAGGTCAGGAGTTGGAGACCAGCCTGGCCGATATAGTGAAACCCCATCTTAAAAAGAAAAACTCCTCCAGCAAACACTTTGCTAAATAGTGTTATACTGAAAAGTTCCCATGAGATTGGGAATGAAACAAAAATGCTTGCTGGTGCCACTTCTACTCAACACTGTATTGGAGTTTTAGCTAATTCAGTAAGACAAGGGGGAAAGAAAACCAAGACAAAAGGTGAACAACATGAACAGAATGGGCACTGGGTAGGGATAGAAAAAAGAAGTAAGGCAGGAAGAAGGGAAGGGGCAGAAAATTGGACTAAAGGTCAATTACAACTTCACACTGTAAAGCACTAGGCTATAATTTCCCATTATTAAGCTTCTCTGATCCCTCCTACAAACCTGTAGACTCAATAAAGCAGATGTTACTGACCTCTATTTTCCAGATGATATAATTATGCCTCAGGAAGGTAAACTGATTAAGGTCACTCAGAAGCGAAGGGGAACTGACTTAGGAGGTGAGGGTTTAAATCTGAGTTTCTTTTCAATATGTCATGCTCTTTCACAGAATGGGAGCTAGAAAAATCCAAAAGGAAAATTTGTCCAGAACTTGCTATTGGGTCTCCCAAACCTAAATAAAGTTGCCACTGAATTTAGGAACATGTTGGCTAAAATGACACAAAATAGGTCCGCTTCTACTTCAAACTTAAAGAAACACTATACAAATACTCTGAGGCAGAGAGAAAGAGAAGAGACAGGAGAGACAGAGAAGACTAGCTCAAGAGAAAGTTAAGAGAAAGAAAGGAATATCCCCAAATGCTAGAAATGAACAAAAAACTTAAAATCAGAGTGAGAAGTGGGAACTGACATAGATTCAGATATAGCTTCAGGGGCTGGTGCCTGGAGTCTTAATGCCCATCCAGGAATAGCAGACCTGTTTTCCAGCTTTAAAGGCAAAAGTACATGTGGGTGAGTGATGAAGACTAGACTGGAGTTGCCTTTTTGAAATCTGGACCTTTGATGAGCTGCCCAGTCAGTGAAAAGAGAGAGTTGGAAAAATATTATCCACAGGCTCAGGGAAATGGCAAAAACTTACCATCAGGAACCTCAGACAGAAGGTAGAGAGAAAATAAATGGTCCACGAAAAATGGAAACTACAGGTCTGTGCTACAATCAGATGCTGGGGAATTTACATTATCTAGAGAGTATGGAAACTCTGAGCTAACAAACTGAAACCCTTAGGGTCCTGGCAATAACAGAAATGAAACGGGACTGTATAAAGATACTTTCACAATACAGCATACGAGACTTCCACGGGGAGAGGAAAAAAATCCTGTTGGAGATGTGATCGTTTCAAAGAATTACAAGCCATACAAGGAGATACAGCAAGGAGCATAGCTAACTCTCCTCCAGAAAAAAATAAAATAATCCAAAAGAAACCATAAAGTAAGTATGTTAGAAATAATTAAAATAAAAAGCAGACACCATCATGAAGGATCAGGACATTTTGGAAAATTTTTACATTTTAAAAAGACCTAAAAGGGACATCTAGAAATTAAAAATTATAGGTATTTGGAATGAAAAACTGAGTAGATATATTAAAAAGCAGATTAGACATAGTTGAAGAGATTCTTAGTTAACTGGAAGGCAGATATGAGTACATCATCCAGAAGGCAGCAAGGAGAAATATTAAAAGTTATGAAGAACAAAAATCTAATAGAAAGTCAAGAGGAAGGGATAGAGGAAATGAGGGAAGACAATGGCTTAAAATTCTGAAAAATAAAGACATGAGAACCATGACTACTTCTGAATAGAATGAATAAAAACAAACCTATACCTAGACATAGGTTAGCAAAACTACAAAATATCAAAGATTTAAAAAATATATATTTTAAAGCAACCAAAGAAGAAATTATCTTAAAAATGAGTAAGAGTCTGATGGAAGATTTCTAATCAGCAGCAATGTAAATGAGAACTATGGAACAACGGTTTCAAAGAACATAAGGAAAATAACTATCAATCTAGCCAACTACTATTCCTTCCCTATATGTTTCTTAACTCAAAGGAGAGAGGTGTGCCAGCAGATGAGAGACTTGTCAAAACTAGCTGGCATTAGCAAAGACCAACTGTATCTAGGAAGGTATTTAATTTAATGAAAACTATACCAGATTCCCAAACACGAGACGGAACAAATGACTCAGACATGTAGCTCCAGGAGCTTTTGCCTTTATATTATACTTCCAGCTAAAAGTTGGCAGTCTTAATAGCACAAGCTTAGGCAGAATTATTTAAGGAGGATGCTATGTGAACTCTAGATATATGGCATAGTGATTAAACTGAAGTCTGTGGCATCAGACAACCTGTTCAAATCTTGACTCTACCTTACTTTCTGCATCTACACATCTCAGTTTTAAAAACATGAAATAAGAAGAGACATGCAAAGCACGTGGCATAGTACCTGGCACATAGTATGAATCTGATAAATCCCAGCTATTATTATTAATCTTGACCATGGTACTGTAATTTGATTATGCAGTTTGAAGCATTTATCTTTAGTATGATTACCGAAAAACTAAAATATAAAAGACACATACTCTGACATCCACTGAGCAGCCCACAGTCCATGATGGATTTCCCAGCACTTGATTTTGGCATAGAAGATGGACTAATGAAGATTTCCCAACACCTGTAAGAGATACAGGAACTCTAGTCACATAAGAGACAATGTTGAAATCTGTTTTGGATAGACTAAGACTAAGACTATACAAGAATAATGTTAAGTAAAGCATAGTTGTTAGAATGCCATACCAACAATATAAGCTTCACTGAATAAAGTGAAGATGGTAGAGCGCAGTGGTTCTCTCAAATTTGGCATCAGAATCACCTGGAGGGTGGGTTAAAACATGGAATTCTGGGCTCCACCCCCAGACTTTCTGATTTAGCAGGTCTATCTTGGGGCCCAAGATTTCTAACAAGTTCCCAAGTGATACTGATATTGTTCCAGGGGCCTCACTTCGAGAACCACTGGTCTAGGACAATTTCATATTAATAATTCCTTTCCTTTTGAATGACTTAATCAATTTAGCCTATTTTGGAATTATAGAATCTTAACAGATCTTAGAAGTAATCCCTCTGTCCTGCAACCAGTGCTGAGGCCCCCTCCATGGCATCCTGTTAGAGGGTCTCCCAGACTGTGCTTGAATACTGTCAGTGAGAGAGAGTCACCATTTCACAGTTCTAAATTTAGACACTCCAGTACTTCCATATAGTGATTTTTAAAAAGCAGCCAACCACTTAGCCAAGACTTACATTTTAGAAAAAAGGACAATTCTACTCCCTCTTCCACATTATGACCCTTTACGTCACCATCTGATCTCTTTTAGATTTCTTGGGCTTAGGGAAATCTAGTTATTAATGCTAAGGGTAGCATTCAGAGATTTGTATGAAGAGGAAAGAGACTGAGCTCTTCCTCTACATCCATGTACGGAGTCACTCACTCATTTAATAGCATTTTGGGGGCTCTATTATGATAAGCATGGTTGGTGAATCTTTACAAATCACTAGGTTTATAAAAAATTTAGATCATCTCTTTGATCATATTGTGTATGAATCTATTGTTTATGTTTATTTCTTATTATAAAAAGTTATATTTACAATCTAGAAAGTATACACAAATCAGGGCCAGGCATGGTGGTTCACATCTGTACTCTCAGTGCTTTGGGAGGCTGAGGCAGGAGAATCACTTGAGAGCAGGAGTTTGCGACCAGCCTGGGCAATGTGGCAAGACCCCAACTCCACAAAAAATAAATTAAAAAAAAATTAGCCAGGGCTCATGCCCTGGCCTGCGTCTGTAGTCCTAGCTACTCAGCAGGCTGAGACAAGATGATCCCTTGAGCTCAGGAGCTGGAGGTTGCAGTGAGCTATGATCACACCACTGTACTCTAACATGGGTGACAGTGAGACCCCATCCCTAAAAAAAAAAAAAAAAATCACCTTAAGACTACTGTCAACATGTAGGTTTATTTAATTCCACAAGAACACAAGAACAGTTTTTCTATAAGCAGGTGGTTATTGTGTTTATATACAGCATACTAAAAAACAATAAAACAACACAGGCCTTTGCTTCCATAGCTTGTTCTGTCTGGAATATCTTACCCATCCTCTCCCTTCCCTCCCCACTCCCATTGGCCTGGTGGATTAATCATTGAAGACTTAGCATCATTCTGTAAAGTATTTTCTGACCCCACACAGGTAGAACTAAGCATAGCATCCACCATCCTCTGGGCCTCCACTGTATCCTGTACATTTTCCTACAGAGCACTTAAAATACATTGTATTACATGTGTTTGTTTATAGGTTTTATTCACTCTACTTAAGTTCCTTGAGGGTTTTTATGCATCTTTTTTATCTTCAGTACTTAGATCAGACCCTTAATTAGTATTTATTGCCTAAAAGTTTCCATATTATTCCAGAATATTCATAAACATTTAAAATATCTCCATAGTACTTCAGAGAATAGGCATAAAAATTTACTTAACCATTCTTCCATTATTAAATATATAGGATGTTTTGTAATTTTTGATATGCTACTGAAAAGTTACTTCTGTTTAAACCTTTAAAATTAAAATTATGTTCTTAGTATACCTTCCCAGAAGTAAACTCAGTACTACAAAGGAAACATTTAAAGTTCTTGATATGTATTGACAAATAACTTTCATGGGGGTTACACTGACACCAGTCATACACTTGAGCCTGAAGGTCATGTTGCACCTCAACAATATCATGTAGTTGGCTTTTCATCTTTGTTAAAGATGAAACCCTAAACAGTAAGAACAGTTGAAGTGCTAGGGAATAATGACTAACTTCATTTCTTTAAAAATTTTGGGAGATTCTATGTCTTCACCTTTAGAACTAAATTTGATCAAAAGAATGCACTTGATTTGCTTCGGGGGGAAAAGGCCCAATATAAATAAATGTCACCTCCAAATATAGATGTTTGATAATATGTTAAACTAGTCCCTAATCTCTGAAAGGAAGAGAAAACCATATGGTAGTGAGACTTTTAGGGTTCCTTACCAAATTACCAACTATCGCAATAGGATACAAAACAAAACTCCAAACGCTTTTTTTTCTTTGAGACAGGGTCTCACTCTATCACCCAGGCTAGAGTGAAGTGGCACGATCCTAGGTCACTGCAGCCTCAAATCCCTGGGCTCAAGCGATCCTCTCACCTCAGCCTCCCGAGTAGCTGGGACTACAGGCATGTACCACCATGCCTGGCTAACTTTCTGTACTGTTTTTGGTGGAGACAGGGTCTTGCCATGTTGCCCAGGCTGGTCTTGAACTCCTGAGCTCAAGCAATCCACCCACTTGAACCTCCCAAAGTGCTGGGATTACAGGTAAGACCCACCTCGCCCGGCTAAGTCATTTCTTTGTATATTTGTGAAACTCTCAAAATTTTATGAGGAAAATGGCCTTTATTCAAAAATAAACTTGCAGGTTTGAAGCAAAGGCCAAGGAAGTGTAAAAAGCATATTCTAAGCTGTCAGATTGTGTACTTTTAAATTGCAGTTAAAAGGAGACTGACAAAATTACCTTTAAAAAGATAAAAAGACAGTAACTAATCTTGCACATAAAGCTTAACATGAGCAAATGTGTGACAACATCAATCACTTTCCTGGCTGTCATAGCCGTGTCTTCTGCTTTACAACTAAACCATAAGGGGAAGGGGGGCAGTGGGGAAGCTTACTAATTGCCTGGTTACTTTTCCACATTTAATGTAGCAGCTAATCCTACCCCTGTTATATAATGCATTAATTCCACAGTTATAACCCCAGAACCTAATACAGTGCCTGTTGGAAAGAAAATAAATTGACTAGTTGCAGCAGTTTGTAATATGAAGGGATTGTTAGATACAATAATAGAAAATGGAATTATAGAGGACAGAAAACACCCACTTCACACATCATGAAGAAGTCTGTTAGTTCTGGATTCCAGTCTTAAATTCTACTTGGTAATACTCTTGCCAAAATGGAGTGATTTTATTAAATTAACTTTGACACCACTTCAAGCTACCTGACAAAGAAATGAAGTTGACATAAATCGTGATTATGTTCAGAGTTTCAAAAGGCAACTTTCTTAGGGGAATATTAAATAATTTTCTCTGTAAAATATTTCATAATGTAAATAATATTCAGGGCAATGTGAAAACATCCTTAATATATCTTTGCCTTCCACAGTTTTATTTAGTTTCTGTAAGGGTAGTTTTTAGGCCTCTCCACCTCCAAGCGTCTAGCACAATGTCTTTGCTCACAACACATGCTCTTAGGCCAAATCCAGAACAGCACATCCATAAAATGCAAAGTTAGCATTTATTGAAGTTCCTACGGAGAGTTGGATTATGGAGGAAAAGATAAGGGCAGTGAGGTGGGAGCTGGAAATGCGGACGGACGTCAGGGTCAGCTGTAGTTTTCAAATGTCCCAGGTGTCAAAAGAATTTTTTTTGCATCCATTGAGATTAAAAAATAAAAAAGAGAGCCCCTTAGTAACCAGTTAAATGGTTACTTTTGGACTCATAAAAAAAAAATAAAATAAAAATAAAAAAGAAAGAAAAAATTTTATCACTAGGATTAAACTGGGCTCAGCATTAAATCCTTGCTGCTTCAGAATAAAATTCTTACTTTAATTTCTCTAGTAACAGGTTTTCAATGAAGACCAAACGAGAACAAGGAAATAAAAAGCTCAGTTAACAATAAAACAGGACCATTACCCAGTATTTTATTGCATAATTATAGCTTAGCGTCTAACTACGTGGCCTCTGCGTTCAAAAGGATTCTGTCATTTACATCTCTCTGCCTCACTACTCTCATCTGTAAAATGGGATAATATGACTGACCTCAGAATTAAGTGAGTTAGTGCATGCCAAGCGCTTGCCAGTGCACGTTTCTCAATGAACGTTTGACTTCCTTAATGAACAAAATCTCTTGAAGGCACGGTCCTACTAACCAGCCTTAACACAGCACCCGATGCAATACACAATGCCTGCCTTTTTTTTTTTAAATAAAAGAATTGACAATACACTCTAGGCTGGTGTCGCCCGGGAAACCGATGTGGAAAGCCGCGAAGGCAGAAGGCCCGGGCTCCGCGACCCGCTCCCGCGCGCCGCCGCCGCGTCGTCACACGGAGCAAAGTCCTCTGGGAAGTGTAGTCTTCAAGCCTTGTGAGAGACTTCAGACCCAGGCCGAAGAGCCAGGAAGTTGAGGGAAGAAAGTTTAAGGGAGGGTTATTGGATAAGTCAAAAGTGTCTGCAGCCCCAGACATGAGTTTAGCCGCTCACCTGAGTCTCCCAACACCAGTACCTTCACTCGATCCAGGGAGGCCATCTTGCCACTGCCTTCTCTGGGTTAACGCCTGTTCCGGGATTGTAAGCCAATCAGAGTTGGGTATGGGGGCAGAACCTTCAATTTCATTGGCCGCTCGGAGCGTGACTTGCCTGATAAAAGGCTTCACTGAGCTGATTGGCTGGTGTGGTAAAAGGTATCGGGGTGTTTTCCAAAGCTGGTCGCAGGAAAAATGCGTTTTCTTTGTCGCACAAGGGCGTGGCTCATTTAAGCCGGTAGTTGAAGCTCTGAGGGCAGCAGTAGTGGGAGTGTTCGAGGATTCGCTTTGGTAAACCTTGTTCCCTGTTCCTTGTTCGGAGTTCCCTGGCCGGGCATTGCATTTTATGCTTTTTCCTTCCTTTCGCACCCTCTTAACTATCCTCCCGTAATGAGTTACCCTCTTGCCTTGGTCCTCTAAAGAACCATTGACCCCGGAGCGGCCCGTGTGCGACCTCGGGTAGGGCGGGCTTGGCTGCCCCGAGTGTGGCCCTGGACCCAACTGGGAGAGTCTGCGGGAGTTTGGGGTCTTGGGGTCTCGCAGTCTCGCACTGGGGAGGCGTGCACATCACCGAACGCGTTTTATGGAAGGCAGTTGGATCCTAAGATTTCGCGGTAGTCTGCCGCTATGTGTGTGAAGGCGTGCAAAGTGCCATGAAATGCAGTAACAGAAAACCGCAGTCAGATGTGTAGAGTCAAAGTTGTTCTAGAACTGGAGTAGTGGTATACTGAAGTAATCTAACTGTACTCTCTGCGTCCACTCTTTTGTCGTTTTGTTCTCCACTCAGCAGTCAGCACAGTCTTTTAACATAGGGAATTTCATCCACTCACCTCCCGCTTAAAACTATTTTAAATTTAAGAAGGGAGTGTCCAATAAATAGCCTGTCCGATTCTGCCGTGGAAGCTAGAGTGTAGAGGAAGTGAAGTGGGGGGAAGCTGGCAAAATGAGCCATGTTGGAACAACATGTGCCTAGGAGACATTTGGAAGGTTTTATGGAATGACTTGTCTGGCTATGCTAGAGGCTGGAAATTAATTGGTGAACAAGATAAAGTCTGATCTTAGGTATAGAGACGGAGAAAGTACAAGAAGGGGAAAGAGCCATGCAACATGTGAAAGGGGATGCTTGTATGCTACTATGGGGAGTCTTCTGCCTCTAGGAGGAAATGTTTTTGAGACTTGAAGGATGATTAAGAGAAGGGGATTTGGGGTAGACAGAGGGCAGAGGGTGCATTCTTTTCAACTTTGTTTCTCTAGCTCCGTGCCTGGTGCACAGTAGTCCTTAAATGCTTTTTTTTTTTTGAGACGGAGTTTCACTCATGTTACCCAGGCTGGAGTGCAATGGCGCGATCTCGACTCACCGCAACCTCCGCCTCCTGGGTTCAGGCAGTTCTCCTGCCTCAACCTCCTCAGTAGCTGGGATTACAGGCACGCACCACCATGCCCAGCTAATGTTTTGTATTTTTAGTAGAGACGGGGTTTCACCATGTTGACCAGGATGGTCTCGATCTCTTGACCTCGTGATCCACCCGCCTCGGCCTCCCAAAGTGCTGGGATTGCAGGCTTGACCGACCGCGCCCGGCAGTCCTTAAATGTTTATATGATTAAAATAGACGAGGGTCTGGACTGGGGTAGGGATGTGAGGCTGGGAGATGACTCATGGACTATGAAGATCAAAGGAAGAAACAAAGGTCCTGGGTGGTCCCACAGTCACAAGTCTCCAGAGACCAGCCAAACTCCTTCCCTAATAATGCCAGCTGCTCTTCGGCTTCAGCTTATTGTTTCCATGTGGGCAGATGGGTTTTCTTTTTCCTCAGATATTTCCTATTTTTCAAGAGGAGCTGGAAGTTGAAATGTATGTGAACTCTTACAATATTTTAATGTTGACAACTAATTCAGAAAATGTTTGAAACATTCTTTGGGTGAAACGATGGGTGGGGGGCTGCCATTTTGAGAACTCTTACCTAAGACGTGTAGAGATTGAGTAAGGAGATTCAGCGTGAGTGGGAGGTGGTGGAGGAGAGAAAGCAGTGGTCAGGAAGGAGGATTTTAGAATGCGGAGAATTTTAACAAGGTGGCACAGCTTGATTTCATTCCTGAGCTCTAGTTTTCATTTGTTCTGCTACATGCTGGGTATATTCAGAGGAATATCCTATGGTATTTCCTCAGAGACACTTCTAAAAGTGATTTCCTCATTTCTTCCAAATCTGCACCTCGTCAGGTGTCACCTATTACTCATGCCAGTACTTTTCCCTTCCTAGGTACGCTGGCTCAAAACAGAGCTATTTAAAATTTTTCCTACTCTCCTACTGTGTATGCAATATATTTTGTTGGGTCCTTTTGATTTTTTTTCTGTAATAACTCATTCATTCTGTTCTCTTCTTGCAATTTTTTGCCTTCTTCCTTAGTTTAGGTTTTCTTACTATGCCCCCAATACTTCCACAGTGCCTCCACCTTCACTCACTTCAGTCTATTCCTCATGCTACTATAGGAGCCACTTTTCTAAATAGGGGATTTATTACAAATGCCAATACTTCATTGAACTCTTATGCCAGCCCTGTTGGTAGAACACTTTGCATCAATTATCTCACTGAGTTCATACATTAACTGTATGAACAGGGCACCGTTAATCACTCTTTTTTTTTTTTTTTTTTTGAGGATCATGCCCTATCACTAGGCTGGAGTGCAGTGGCAAAATTATGGGTCACTGCAGCCTTGACCTCCTGGCTCAGTTGATCCACCTCAGCTGGTACTACAGGTGCATGGCATCATACCCGTCTAAGTTTTTACATTTTTGTAGACATGGGGTCTTACTGTGTTGCCTCGACTGTTTCTGACGCCATATGTTGTGTTCTGACAACTGCTGAAGATATAAAACAATAAAAAACCAAAACTGGGTTCAAGTACAATGTATAGATCAAACTGAAAAGGAGAGATAGTATGTCCAGTAGTATGCTGTGGTACTACTTTGGTGTTGAGCCCAGGCACTTGCCAGGCATCCTTAAGCCCTGGGGTAACAGGAAGCGCTCTAGGTTCATAGATTTGGATCTAGGTGCTACTTTGCTGTATCTTATTGAATATAGTCATACCTGAGTATTCATAACCTAAAGTATGTATTTTCTTTTGACTGACTTTTACTTTTCCTATATTGCAAGAAGGGCCTTATATTTTCCTCCCAAAATATGTGCATAGGTTGGTTATAGATTGGTGTGTAGAGTTTCCTTGTAGTGTGGTACTGTGGATATCAAAATATTTCTTATAAAAAGGATATTAAATCTGTTAGGGTTGATAACCACTGATTTCAAATAAAAGGGTCAGTTGAAACTAGTATTAACAACAGAATATGAATCCTTGTTGAAATAGTTCAATGGAATGTCTCTGTTAAAAATTATCCTGTGGAGCCTGGCCAAGATGGTGAAACTCTGTCTCTACTAAAAATTCCAAAATTAGGTGGGTGTGGTATTGCATGCCTGTAGTCCCAGCTACTTGGGAGGCTGTGGCAGGAGGATCACTTTAACCCATGAGGCAGAGGTTGCAGTGAGCCAAGCTTGTGCCACTGCACTCCAGCCTAGGTGAGAGAGCGAGACCCTGGCTCAAAAAAAATAAAAAAAAAAAATTATCCTGTGGGCTGGCTGTGGTGGCTCACACCTGTAATCCCAGCACTTTAGGAAGCCCCCAAGATGGGTGGATCCCTTGAGCCCAGAAGTTCAAGACCAGCCTGGGCGAAACAGTGAAACCCTGTCTCTATAAAAAATACAAAAATTAGTCAGTCATGGTGGTATGCACCCCAGCCCACTGGGGAAGCTGAGATGAGAGGATTGCTTGAGCCCAGGAGGTTGAGACTGCGTTGAGCTGAGTCACACTACTGAACTCTAGCTTGGGCAACATGGCAAGACCCTGTCTCTATTAAAAGAAATTAAAAAGATTCCCTGTGGACTAGCAAAATTTAATTTGGAACATATTAAGTTGATACGGAAGCTGTCCTTCCTAAGCACTTTAATTACATTCTTATTAATGACAACAACTCCATTGAAGTAGTTGATACCAGCCTTATTTCTCAGATATTAAAGTGTGGCTTGAAATTGTTTAAGGGATTTGCTCAGGACTACACAGTTACCAAAACACAGGCTGTCTACTCTGAAATTCAAAGCCCAGGTTCTTTTAGTAAACCACATGCCAATATGGGCTTTGAGAAGACAGCTTTCTGGGCCATGGCATGGAAATGAGATACACTTAGTTTCTGCTTTGTCAAGGGATCCAGTATTTAAGAATATTTTGGGCTGTTCTCCCTCACTCATTGTCTATCTTTTTAAGGACTGCATGGTCCTTACTTGATTATCACATTTCGTTTTTCAAGGTTGGTAAAACTATCTGGACCTAAGTATTATTTTTTTTCAGTTTTGCAACAGTTAATGATTTTGTCAAGCATCCCAGGTGGTGATTACTTATGTGTTTATTGGTTTGTTCTGATTTTATTGTGAAAGCCTGACTATGTGAAACATCCTAGAATCTTGGTAGAAAAATTTTTCTCAAGAAAGGAAACACTTTTAGGAAATGCTAAGTGCTAGGTTTCTCAGTGTTTCTAGCATTCCCAAAGAATAGTGAGTGTTTCATGTAGTTTTTTTGTGTTTCTTTTCTGAAATAAAATAGACTTGACATATATCGTTTCATAAATAATGTTACTTTTTAATCAAACACACTGTAGATTGTAACACACTTGTAGTATGGTACTGTGGATCTCAAAATAAAAAGTAGCCATTTTAGAAATATGTAAAGCTTTTTAGGTATCATCTTTTGTGTACTCTAGAGGAAAATCTTGTTTTGCTCTGTTAAATGCTTAGGTATTAGAATTCTTAAACTCTTTGAGTACTTCTCTGGCACTCCAAGAATAGTGGTAGCTATAAGCTACATGTTGATTATTCTAGATTTAAAAGGATTACTATGTCCTTATGTCTGGCTAATTTTCTCTTTTTTTCTGAATTCAGTATTGCCAAAGATGGCAGACCCAGATGTCCTCACTGAAGTTCCAGCAGCACTGAAGAGGTTAGCCAAGTACGTGATCCGGGGATTTTATGGCATTGAGCATGCCTTGGCCTTGGACATCTTGATCAGGAACCCCTGTGTGAAAGAGGAGGATATGCTGGAGCTGCTGAAGTTTGATCGGAAGCAACTTCGATCA